AAAAAAAAAAAAAAAAAATCAGTAAAGGAAACAGTTCTCAATGTTGCAAAATCCCTCAGTCGAGCTGAGTAATTTCTCATGTGAGTTCGTAATGAGTCTGCAAACGAGAGGAAGAATTGATTTCGGGGTCTGTTTCCGTGGATTACAGATGTTATCTATTAAAGTCTTACGGATGCCATCAACATGTCATTGACGTATACTAAAATGTATAACTTATTCGCGTCAGTGACTTTAAATGGCGAATCGTCCAAACACGTAGTTCAAATGTCTAATTACCCTAATTGAAATGACGATGCTGATGGCATCCACAGAACTTCAATGGCTAATACACACGAAATGATGTTGCATTTTAATGTTATAAATGATTTCTATGTTTTATTATGTTTATTCTAATTAAATCGTATATTTCATGTGGCATTTGTCATTATCGATGTTCTTTGTGAATATTTACGCGAAATAATAAAGACACTTCGTGACACAAAGATGATTCTAGGACATATTTATAGTTTCATTGACTCAGTGACCCTCTAGAGTCATGAGGTCATTCGAGAAAGTATTTCCTGCTTGCTAGAAGCGGCGTGTGCCCCCTGAAACATAGTCTTTTATAAATGTTTGTCGATTTGACTGAAGTGCGTCACTTTAATTTCGGTCAGAAGTTCGTGAAGCTGGGACAGGACAGATCACAGATTTTCTCAATAAGTCTTTAAGGGCTCTTTGTAGCAAGTCTTGACAAATTTTACGAAATGTTTCAGGGTTCACGATTATATTATGTCGCTGAAATAAAATATAAAATAATTTGTGTCACGGAGCTTTATGTAATTTGGATCTTGCTTCTGAAAGCTTCAGTGTGTAATTAACATTTTCATTAGAACTTAAACTAACATCTGTTGATTCCCCGTACAGCCATTCTCGTCTGAATTTGGAGAACGAATGAATTGCTTTCAATTTTAATAGTGTCATCGATTGCTTGATAGATCATTTACTATTTTAATAACAAGACGCTTCTATAGTACAGACACCAAGTCTTTTAAATATGTTTCAGTTAATCAAATTCGGAACCAGTTTCGCTGTACACAATATTTCACGTGTTTTATTTATAAATAAATGTGTCACGTGTAACTGCTTTGTGCTTAAGATTTCTTTAAATAATTTTTCTGTACTCCGGCCCTTATCTGAAGACTCAGTACATTGTTTTCTGTTCCACTCAAAATCTCTGTCTAGTTCCCCAAATAAATTAAATCTTAATGGCTCTAACGTGCGGAATTAAGCTCCTACTTCGTAGCATTTTCGAAGCTTGTAATTCGATTTCTCTCCTACGTCAGTAGAACGGCTTCAAAACTTCCGTTCTTTACGACAAAAGTTTCAGATGTCAGCGTTAATCAAGTCTCAGGCTCAGTCCATTATTCTGTATAGACAATGAGACACATTTTTAAAGAAATCTTTTGCAAGCAGTAAGTAAAATTGGCAAGGCTTTTCCTAGGTAGCACGACGCTGAGTTTCAACCCTTATCGGCTTAGAGCTAATAAAAGTTCGAATCTTTCAAATAAATATTACGTCAGCTTCTGTGTTACAGAGAATTCGGTTTGGTTGCCCTCGCAGAGGCTGAAAGCTTTTCTTTAAGCGTCAGAATGTTATATTTTACAAGTGCTGCTACAGTGAGGCAGCTTTTGGAAGTTCTGTTACGCATGAGGAACTCGGTCAAATGACGTAGTACGTAGCCCAAATATTTTACTTTGTCGTTCTAAGCTAAAACGGGTGGCAGTGGAATGTGGGATAGAGAAAGGAAGGAAGGACGTCTTTCCTCCGAATTTAATTTGCCGTGAAATGCCTTTCAACTACTTCAAAGGCAGGTGGAGTACAGGAATCAATTTGCGAGACAAACTAATGATCTTGTTACGTGAACAGATTTCTTTATACGGGTCACTCGATAATGATGATAATGGATCCATGATGGATCCATATGGCTCTAGGCTGACGCGGCGAAGGAGGACTGTGGTGAGTCATTAAATTTGTGCAATAATTTTTCTTGTATTTTGTTTCGTACGCGTTCTAATTCTTAAAATAAATTTATCTTTCTCGAAAACGTAAGAAGTTAATTCGGAATTCCGTCTGATTTTCTTGCTACCTGGGAAAGCTTCATTGGTAGAATTAACACTGTTTTCTGTGACTGATAAGACGTTCATAACCCAGAAGACGGATATCTTCGTTCTTATTCTGTGTGTGCCATTGCAGATGTGAGAGAGGTCAGAGGCATCAGCGACTGCTCTCACATTGACACACGTTTCTTTGCCGCCTGTTTTACTAATTCCTGTTCGTTTCTGTGTTTCTCTTACCTCCCGTGTTCTTTATTTTTCCCCTTTTATTCTTTTCGTTGGCATTCCCTTGAACAGAAAGAATCAAATGTATCACGCAGTCTCGACCATCATGACACTGAGGTACAGTATCAGAAGGTTTTATGAATCGTACGTTTGGTTTGCAGTGAGTGTGCTTATGTGTGTGCGTGCGTGCGTGCGTGCGATAAATGTACGAAGGGACGAGCATTTCGGCGGTTTCATGTGGCACAGTTGGCAGAACTTTATTGCAGAGAACTAAAAAATGTATTGAAAAGCACCACGGCTCGGAAACCCGTAGTTGACCTTGTGGGAAATTTTGGGTTAGGAATGCTCATCAAAAGCAAAACTGTGTCACTCTTTTCCTCAGGCATGTGCTCGCCTTGTCTTTGAAAGACGCGGGAAGAAACAAAGTAAATGACGCTTGTGTGTGAATGAAGGTTGTCGAACTCATAAGTGTCATCGTCAGTCATTACTTTTTTTCGCGTCCTGGAAAATTTATTCTGCCATTCGTTTAAGTAAATGATTTAGTGACTACGCAAGTGAGTGAATTGCATTTTGTGTCTTTCGTGTATTGGAATCAAAATACTATTAACATTATTTATTAGAGCTAATATTATACATTGTGGCACTCCATTTTGCCTGTGTGTTTCACCACTTAGTGATCTTCCTGTCTAAACTTCTTGTATTAGCTTTATTTCCATCTTCTAGATTCTCACGTCACATAACCTGTAAGCATTTGTCTCTCATGAACACCCTGTAACTACACGCAGCACCTGCGAGCGGTGGTCCAATTTTTAGGGCTGTTTGCTGTAATGGGGTCACGAGTTTTACGTGGACATTCTCCTCTAAATTCAATCACAAAATGCCACTGTTTTGTGCAAGGAACTGAGCAAGTCTCTTCCTAAACCTATAAATTTTTATAGGAATTTTATGACAAATTTAAGTTCCGTAAATGTCGCTTTCAGCTGAGTCGTAAGAAAATGTTTTCGCTTTTTCAGAGCTGATGCTGATTTTTGCTTTACGATTAACGCAAAATCTGCTTTCACATAAAAACCATTTAATACAAAATTTTAATCTATTTTATAAATTAAATTTATGCCTTTAATCAGTTCTCGTGAAGGCATATTCTTTTAAATATTTCAATCGGTGTTTTGGTTGTATACGAACATCAGCTGTTACCCCCTGAGCCAATGTAGCAGCAGGTTTGTATTACAATCGCTTACAGTGTCCGAGGGACGACGTTTCGTCGCCTTTACAGATCATTTTTATAACTTATTTTTCTTTTAATATTTTAAGCCAAATCCGACTCGCATAATTGTAATGGAATGCTAGTAACTTAATTATTCGTGGTGAGATGTTAATTTATACCATAAATAATACGACTCACGAACAGGGATTTAGTGATGCCCCGCGGGGTAGCCTAACTTCCATGAGCATTATGAACGAACGCCCTCTCCATATTTCGTAGATATCACGTGACATCCACTTCTACCCTGACCAGTGTTTACATATCGTGCAAGAGGGGCTCAAGTCTAAACTGGTCGTATCAAATCTCCCTTTCGGGTCAGAAATATTTTATCGTTTATGGGTGTCAGCACTCTGTAAAAAAGGATGAATGTTTCTTGAACGTGATAAGTGAAGATCGAGCAGCCCCTAAAATTGAATCACGTGACTGTCGGCTTTCTTGTGTGTTTCTGTTGCTTTGTGAATTCTGTACCCTCAAGACACCTGGAGCTAACTGTAAAGTAGTGATTCGTCAGTAATTTTGGATCGTGTTTGTCCAATTAAGAGCCGGCCCATGTGAGGTTCGTCTCAACTGAGATTGTGTTCTGATCAGATTTACCGATCGAACCTTTTGTACTGATTAGGGCGTCACGTAGAATCGAACCCTAATCTTTTTTGGGTCCCATCGTCTCAGTAAAAAAAAATAACCCAGACATCCTGTGGCAGGTTTACGAACCTCCGGGCTTGTGCTCAGTCAAGAAGCGAGACGAGTATAAATAAACTTCAAATCTAAAAGTTCTCGACGATGGTGAAGAGTCAATTGAATAAAAATTTTCTTGGATATTATCCATGGTCTATTAACTAAAATATAAAACGTAAAAACGACGTTTCGGAGATGGGGCCCCACGCCTTGTGTCGAAGATCGTAGTTTGCAGGAGCTAGTCTCAGCGCGCATGCGCGCGTTTTCCAACGCTAGTTAAAGTCGAGTTGAGTCGCCTTACTGAGGCCGTCTTAAGTAAAAGCTCGCCTTAGGACGTAAGACTTGCCTCTTGACTGTGCTCGTCCTATTTAGGGTGATTTCACTTCTTCGTGTGTCACGCTTAATTCATCACTTCTCACAGCTTTATTTTTTTTTAAATAAAATTGATTTGAATCTTTAAGAGTTATGTCATTAATACAGTTTTTCATGACAAAACTATTTCGCAGTTCCTTAAGGTTGTGGATTATTTGGAAACGCAATGCGTTGATGCGTACGAACAGTGGAACAGAAAATGACATTTCGGCTTCCGAAAAGAAATGTTCGTAAATGAATACGTTGTTCACACTGGCTTGCGTGCCTGAATTCAACTGGGATCGACCAGACATTTTCGACTAGAGCTTCAGATCGACATTAGTTAAACGTCCGCCGGCTGGAATTAGGCTAAGTGGTGACATTAGACGCCGATAATTTCAGTCTCATTTGTGTAAATATTTAAGATGTTTGTGTTGTTCAAGGATTAAGTCCAAAATAAGCGATCGTGTGGCGATATGGAAAAGACTGTTATCTGTCCAGTGCACGATGTCTCATTATTCGGAAGTGTCGAGACATGCATTTTCTTTACGAAACGATAGCGAACCTTAGATTTGTATAAAACGAGTGTAATTTATTTAGAACCTGACCAACTATCAGTTTTTAAAGATGGCCCCCGTTCTGTGAAGTTACTTTAAGGAAACACGGAACAGTATGGTATTTATCAAGACCTAATAATTAAAGTTTAAAATCTTTGTTTAACCTTTCTTCAATCTGGTTAAAATATAAAATATAAATATAAAAGTGGACTCATTGTAAGCTGTATTTGTCACACTGAGGATTTGTCTAAAGCAAATTAACGTAAACATCGCGGTTATTGTGTTTAAAAAATGTGCTCTGTGCACATTTTACTGCCGTCAGACAGAATAATTAAGAGTTCAAGTCAGTAATTTAGGGTGAAAGGTTAGGTTAGGTTACGTAAAGCTCCCGTCAGAAGACTGATTAAAGTGAAAAATGATACATGAGGTTTAGGGGGGGGCAAGTTGTGGGTTGAGGCTGCATTATCGATTTTCACAGACGTGTGTACCTCCCACAAGATGTCTCTGACGTAACCTGGAGCTCAGAGATGTCTTATTTGTTTCCTATGGCATTCTAAAGTTTCGGCTGTTCACTTGCATTTAATCCGTGCTATTGCGTGTCGTGAACCTGGTTCGGTCGCTGTTACTTCGAAATGACAGTGTTTGACGAATTTTGATGTAAATAGTATTCACCAAGGCTGGGTAAGCAGTTTGCAAAATTTTAACTAAAAGTGTAATAGAAGGGTAATAATAAGAATGTATCCACAACCTTAAGGAACACTTGGAAATATGAATTTGAGACCCGTCCTGGTAACTTTAATACCGACGCTGAATTTCTCAACTGCAGGAAGAATGGAAAGGATCGCGAAGGAGTGTTTCAAGCCGGCGGGAGCCTCGACCCAGCGGCCCACACCTTCCAGGAGTACACGTACAAGAAGATCACGCCGTGCGACATCTGCTCGCAAGTGCTCAGAGGTAGGGTCGCCCAGATGATTGAGGCACCAAGGACCTCCGAAACGTCGGTAAACTTCTACCAGACTACACGGCGCTACAACCCAGAAGATAGCCATCTTCGGACTCACCGCCCTGAAAACCTCAAATCATGGAATTTGAATGACTCTATCTATCTGTATTTTTGTAGTTTATGTCTACAGATTTGGTACTCGACCATCTTCGTCTCGGCTTGATTAAACGTATGACACGTGTCATAATACGAGACAGGAACACCTGTTCAGCGGGATTTACATGTAATCCCCATTCACGAAGTAATTATAGTAAGTAGGATTTAAGGTTTACACGGCGGTGGGTCTGAAATTGGCTGTCTTCTGGGTAGTGTCGCCGTGTAGTCTGGTAGAAGCTTACCGACGCCTCCATTATTAGGGCGGGCGATCAGTCACTCAAATGCGCTTAGTTTCAATTCCTGTCCCGCTTAGTTCATGAGCAGTGTTGCATTGAAACGGTGCACGTTAATGTGAACGCCGTGTATGTTACGACTTTGATTTTTTTTTTCTCGTATTCCGTGTGGGTACCTGCGTTAAGTGTTAATATATTCTGTGAACGTGTCGCAGGTCACACGAGGCAAGGCCTCAAGTGTCGAGTATGCAAGCTCAACGTTCATGTAGACTGCCAGGACAAAGTGGGACGCTGTCAGCCGAAGTCCCGACTTCTGCGCAGACAAAAATCCACGTCGGAAATTGAGACGCACGTCAGGGACGCCTTGCCGGACGAAGAGAGTAAGTTGGGAATGTCTGAAAATCCTTGTTTTACTACGGTTCTCACCAACTGTTTTATCCGTGCAAAGCTCTCACGTCTCTTATGGTAATGGATCTCAGAAATTTATGCGAATTTTAAATGTGCATTCTGTGTAATGCAAGGCAGCACCCTGGCGCCTGGAATCAAATTTGTGTGAGCCAGAAATATGTCCTAGCAGGAAAATATCACGTAGAAATTAACGCTTTATACTGATTGTGAGATATTCATTGAAGCGTATGAATGAGTGGTAAGTTTTCCCAGAACTTGTTACAAAAAAAAGGGATAATTTCGGACTATAAAATTTGGCACGTGGTCTGCTTTGACCAAAAGTGTGGCTTGTCCCCTCACTAGTCAGCTGGCAGTTAGAAATGCAGAGACCTGCATATCATTCACAGGACGTCATTAATTATCTCCATGGAACAGAGCCCTTCATAGAATTCAGTAGTAGCTCAGCTGGTCAAAATTGTTTCTTTTATGAAACCAGAAGGTTCATTGCCGTGGTTATAACAACCCTCCAGTGGGCCCTGCAAGGGACTTATTAAGGCGACGAGCTTACAGCCCCTCTAAGTCCCCAAGTTGGATGATTACCCTTTGTCAGCTGACATCGATTTGTTATTGGATAAGTTTGTAGCATCCGGAGGTCACTGTCCTTGGATTTGTTTTAATTGTGAGCATCTGTCGGGGTGAGCCCCTGTCGCGAAGGGCCAGTGTGCGGTGGATTCAGTTTGTCGGAGTTGATCAAACTTTTAAGACCAGAAATCGACTCGCGAGGCGCCGAGGACAATCTACTGAAACTTCAAATGACAGTTTTTCTCTAAAGGCGTGTTGATCTGTTAAATTGTTAACTATTAATTTATAAATAAGTGTTTTACTTAGAATGAAACTTACTTTTGAAAACGCGTTCGCGAGCAGCGACTGAGAACGTGTGCTTTAGGTGTGTGGGCCACTACCACTTCCTAAACTCGTAGTGTCGAGGCAGTTGGCTTCTTAGTTTTCCTCACGTACTCCTAAATTCAATTGTAACCGAGGAAGGCCCTGGAGACGCGTCTCCGTTCTTTCTCAACCGGGGAAGTAATTGCAAGGCCGTGAAACTTTCACAGATGAAACCGATTCGAATTGACAGTGACAACATCTATTTCGATTGCCTTCGATTTATCGATCCTCGTCACCTCACGTCATGAGTCTACATTTCGTTAATAATTTTTAATGCAAAATCCTTGAATTATAACATTGAATTTGTTGTCTTCTGGGTTGCAGCGCCGTGTAGTTTAGTAGAAATTTCTCAGCGTCGGTAAAGTCTACCATACTACGCGACGCTACAACCTATAGAACAGCCGCCATCGATGGTCAAATTAAGTCCGTAAACAAAACGAAAATATATTTAATGCAATAAACTGCCGTATATTCATGAGTAAATGAATTAATATTGCAGTCACAGATGGGGATTAATTGAACCGATTTTCATAAAAATGCGATCGAAGTACGTTAATGTACTGGAAAGAGTTAATGAATCAAAATATTTTTATAATACCAACCACGACATAATAGAATAAACTCTTATGTGAGGATATGATTCATTTCCGTCTTGTTTTATCCCGAATCGTTACATTTATTGGCAAGTGATCATGTTCTTTGAGATATTTCTTTTTAAATATCGTAAAAACGAGCTTTTAACTGGGCGGATTCCACTGTGTTATTTGTAGACTACCGTATGAATAGCTTCGTTACCTGGTAATCCATGGTAGGTTGCTGGGGCAACCGGACAGATAATCTCATTGCTAGGGGTTGATTTAAAACGAACTAAAGGTCAACAGTTGCTTATTATGTTGTTATCTATTAAATTTCACGAGGACTGGGAGGTTTGTGTATTCTGAGTTATTAATTTTCGTAGATTGAAATTTTTTTTTTAAAAAAAAATGGACGCGTGTACCACGAAAATTTTACCATCGTTTCGTATTAGTTTACAAAATTTTGCCAAGACTGTCCAAAAAACACTTGGAAAAGTCTGACGGAATACTTTTTTCCTATTTGGCGAGGTGTTCTGTCAGTTCTTCGTAACAAATCAGAACTTTTTTTAAAAAAAAAACTCGTTTGTGTCATTATATTGATGTCAGCAACGCGTACAAATAATGTTCCAGATAAACTCGCGTTCCTTAATTAATTTCGATAGACTATATTGTATTGTGGTTAAAATAGTTACATTTTGACAATACTGTGTGTGTGTGTCTTAAATGTACGTGTTCAATCACTTTAGGAGCTACGCGATGTCAGTTTTTAACGATCCTCGATGAAATCAACGCAGTCGTGATATTTATGTATATATAGAAAAACAAAATGGCAGAGAGATTAACATTTTTACTACCCTGGGGGGTCTTTGATAAACTTGTGCACCGAACACAACGTAAATATTTTTGTTAGTTACGGAACAGTCGAAGAGCTTCCGTGTTTACTAAGACCGGCGGAAACATTTTGTTAAATAATCGTCCGGAATTTAACAGCTGCGATAATTTTCGCGACTCGTCTCCTGGTGATTGATGATAATTGCTTTGATAATTAAAATATTTCTGTGTTGTCCACTGGCCGTGCTAAATGTGGGTATCACCCTGCTTGAAGCATTTACATTCAGTGGTGATGTACTAACATATTCTTTAAACTTCTTCCAAATCCCTACCCCCATGAACTTCCTTTATTTCGTCAATTTCCGTGTCTTTGTTCATTTCTTTTCACGTGGCTCGATTTATTTTTCTTGTATCGATGTTTGCAATCCCGCACCCTGACAATCTTTCCAAACCCCATCGCAATGTTGACGTCCCCTCTTGTTTTGCCCTGTAACTTTGGCCTCGCTGCATGTCTGTCTTTCCTTGCGTCTTTGAAACTCCGTCTCGTTACCGTGGGGCCTTCCTCCACTCTGCATCTGCTTCGTTTGTTCGCAACACTTCATTCCCGTTTTCGTCGTCAACGACCACTTTCCCCGCTCCTCCCGCTGTCGCAGAGCCTCAAGAGATTGACCTCATCTACCAAGTCCTGAAGCAGGCGGGCGAAATAAGCAGTAGTCGAAGCGGCGGGCCCACTCGCGCGTTAACACCTGTGCCGCCTGGCAACTACCATAACGTGCCAGCGGAGGGCACTGTTCCGCCCGCGAAGCAGCTGGAACAAGCCAATGGGACTCCCAGTGTTGCCAACCTCCACAGACGCTCTGGTCCCACTCAGCAGCAGCCACTGTTGCTAAGAGGAGCTACTAGTTCTCTAACTGTGGGCCCCGTACCTCATGCATCCATTTCAGGTGTGTTTGTTCCTTACATGTCTCTGTGTCGTTCGTGTTCACTAGATGTTTGTGTGAATGTTCATTTCCCTTGTTTCCGGTCGCTTATCGTGTTTGTTTCCGGTCTGACACGCGAAAAATTAAACTACGTGACCTATTTGAGTGTCGATTAAGTCAGACGAGCTTTGTAACTGCAAGGTTTTAAAAAATTGATCGTCCAAATGGACTTTACAAATCCGTTTCGCGTCATTTAACGAACGATTCACCGGTCATATCGCGAGAGCTGCTTTTTGCCAGTCGGATTACGAGACTGTCATCACACTAATTTGTTCATAGACACAAACAGAATATTAATAAGGTTATAAAATCAAGGAAGACGAGATTATCTGAATATTAACACACATGGGGGGGATGTGAGAAATTCGCACAAAAATTTAGTCGAAAATAAACCACTCGGGAGAGGACACGTAAATCCTAGGATATTATTAAAATGACCTCGAAATAACAATGTGGGTGGAGTGAAATCTGACTCGGGATAGCGAAAACTAGCGAACGGCTGTAGACAGCGGTGAAATTTTCTGTTTCTTGAAACACAAGCTGATCGACTCTGAGCGTCTCAAAAAGAATAAAACCACTGTTTCGTGCAGTTAATAAGTGAATCCATTTTTGTGTGTCTATTGGTTAATATGAATTGCTAGGTCCAGATTTGTATAAGGACGTTTCAGAGGTGCTTGCAGCCTCCCACTCATCATTCAATTGTCTGTAATTTTTATCTGGGGCCTTCAGTTCGACATGTGCGAGACATAGTTCTCATGGAAGGAGCAGTCGATTCTTCACACGCGTATTTTGATATAAAATGGCTATAAGTGGTTCGCAGTAAAGTACTTATACAAAAACAGAACACGAAAGAAAATTAGTCACACAAATTTTTACACCGGATTGCTATTAAAATTAGTAAAATTGTTAGAATATTAATTTCAATAGCGCGGAATGTGCTACTCTGTTTCCTACAGATAAATTCCCCCCCCCCTAATCATGCCACGTATCCTCAGAACGACTATAATACATGACGTACCATTTGAAAAGAAATCCAACAAAAATCACGTCCTCTGGTATAAAAATTATATCAGAAGCAGGTCCACCCCCGTCGACGCTCGAGTCAAGGTCATTGTAGTTGGCGAACGCGGAGAGCGTCTGTTCATTCTCGAACATCGATTAGAATCGAAATCGCTTTATGTCCTTCAAGCATTTAGCTCGGGAGGACCGAGTAACAAACAATGAACCGATTGGTAACAAAATTTCGAGGCGATAAAACAGATTACATTACAGCTGTGCCGATTCGAAGTTTTTCAGCTAAACCTTTTATATTCCAGGGGATTTACCAGTAAATATAAACTTGCGCATTAATATGTGGGCTATATTAAATTTCATCTTAAACAAAACGAAATTAGATTCATTCCAATGAGCCGTTAGACATTGACGAGTTCTTATTACATTCTTATAGAATGAAGTTTCTGCCCCGTGTTCACGTCATGACAATTTCGTTCCATTTTGAAGTCAGTTAAAAAAATATGAGCGCTGCTCCTGCGTAAGACTTCTGCCTAAAAATAACGTGACCCGTTGTTAAGGGATGTGGAAGACTGTGATATTATCAAGAACACAGTCCAGAAATTTATCAAATAATTCGGAAAACATCCACTTGTTACATCAAGAAGGAGGTGGAAAGATAGGAATACATCTGTATCTTTGGAAATTGCTTTCTGTTTTATATTAAGTCATGTGAAAATTAAGATGTAATATTAAATTAGACTTTGTTCATAGTAAATCTGCCGAGACACGTAGGGTAAGTGCTGATGTGTTGATCGAGCAGTCGCTGACGTCTGTCAGTGGCGATCCACCAGTTACATTCTGCAGAGATAATTTATTGTAATGAGATTCCTTCACTTAAGTGAGTTTAATGTAATTAAAATACGGAATGACTTCGCAGTTTTAAAGAAAGAGATTTTGTGAATTAAGTAATGAACCTTGAGGTTTCTTGAAAGTCGAAGATTTGTTTCGCTAGCAGTTATTTTCAGAGTCTCGAAAAGGACTCTGATCCATGTTGTTAATAAAACTCCATTTTCTTCTGCACGAAATTAGATATCTTCGTGTGTTATAAAATATCTGAGAGAAGTATTGTGATTACAGAGGCAGGTTACCTGGTGTGCAGTGTCGTTCAGCAAAGCGATTCAATTGATATTACTAGGTTTTCTGACTTGTCCATTTTCTTATTCCAAACAGAACACGTTCTTTAATCGGCCATCTGTCATCGACGCTTAAAAATAAAGTTAACAGTAAAAATGTCACGAAGATTTACAATTAAGACCGGAAAAAAAATTATCCCCCCAAATCAAAACAAGAGTATAATTTATAAATGCCGAAACGTCGAAGATTCTTTTCGTTGTCATCTGTTCGCAATAACAGACTATGGGCAGAGTCCAGAAACCCAGCAATACTGAGAATCCACCAAAAAAAGTTTTCGAATGAATGTGGTTTCATGTGTGTGTGTGTCGTAGATGTCGGCGGCGGT